GTGTATACATATATGTACCATATACTTGCATACTTGCCCCATTGCCCGTGTCATTGTAGATTTGTATGTGTTCTTCCCTCTTCCTATGTTCACCACTCGTATACATATTTCCCGTATGCGTGTAAAGATACTCCTAAGCAACGCACGTCCACACTATCTGTCATGCAATATACATCGTGATTTACGCAACATCGTGCTGTGCCGCATACTTAACTTCATCAACGGCGCTTCCCGGGTGAACCGACCCATCGGGTGAATCGTCCCACCCTTTGGGTTTCCCATCCTAAATTGAATTCCTCCTGGCTCCCGGTGTGCGTATATGAAACGCTTCTACTTCCGTCTGCTGCCACGCGGTGCTTGTACTCTGGACGCTGGTAGTCCTTTCTTGTCTTGTTGTTTGTGTAACTGATGGACTAAGTTGATTTCGTTCCCATAAATTGTCGTCGATGTAGAATAGTGTCGTAGATCTGTTGAACTGTTCTGCACTTAAGTACCATTCCTCTATGGTCTGCGTTTGATTTTGTACGATTATTATATCCTCTCGGTTGGTGTTTGGCGTGTATCCTATGTCTAGTACACTATTACTTTATCCACGGCTAGCCGCCATTAGCGGTGGCATATCACTATCGGTATCGCTGCTGATAAATCCACTATATGCGTGCTGGTCACTGTCTATGTTTGACATCTTAGTGTCCCAGGTTTCTCTCAACAAAAATTTAAAGTGTCTGATTACACCCTAATCGAATATACGCGACTTACACTAAGCTAGCTAAAAATGTAGTAACTAACCGTTAGATTAACTATATCTGAACGTTATCCCTGATTGCTCAGGGAGACGTCGCGTCTTTATTAGATTACTATATTAACTAACGGACTCTCCTAATGAGTCGTGTTCGATCCGTTTCGTGTTCGATCCCAAGCGGATCGAATCAAAAACCCAAGTTTATCAAATCCTACAATTTGCTAAAAAGTAATAAAACTAAGTCTACCCAATAGAAGGGAATTCCGACCACAACTGCACCTGAGTGAATGTAAATTTAGTTACTTTACATTCACATCTTCAATGTACATTGAGAGACTTTGTTTTCATTTTTACTATACCTTTGATACAAACTATTAACCTGATCGAAGGTTTAGCAGATTGATAAACCTATCACGACAACACTATTTTAACAGAAACAGACCGTGTTCGATCGAATTTGGGGTGGCTGTTGCAACAAGTGACACCCCGGCTAATTCCATAGCACTGGTAGGACACACATCAATCAGCCATTTGCGGTATGTTCAGTCCAGTATGTTTTGTTTTTAATTTCATTTTTTTTTAAAGATTTCTACAGTAAATGATAACCTGTTATATTCATTCAGGTTTTTCATTTTGGTTTATTTTTCTTCTTCATTTGTTGGAAATCACCTAAATACGGCTGACTGTAAATATATCGGTTGTAAAACTTGAAAGAAATGTGACCACTTGAATACCTCTGACTATATATTTGTTGTAAAACAAGAGATAAATGTGCTCCGAACGAAATCAAATTATTTCAAATGAATTTCGGAAAAGATTATATAGATGTTGACTTGTCGATGGCGAGGCGAATGCGTGATTTAAATGCACTTCGAACGAAGTCAAATTATTTCAAATGGATCTCGAAAGGGGCTGTTTCGATGTCGATTACTTGAGCTTGGCTTAAGAATGTCGGGAGGGACACAGGATTTAAACATGCTCCGAACAAATTCAAATGGTTTTAAATGAATTTCGAAAGAGATTGTTTGGATGTTGAGTTAAACTTCTGAATGGCGGGTCGGACGCGGGTTTTCGATTTTGATTTTGTGATGCATTTGTCTCGGACAATTCAGCTTTTATATACTATAAAAGCAGAAGAACATATTTGTGTAACACGCATACAGTCTTAGGGTCTTCTTGAGGGTCTCAGAGACGGAGTAAAGTTACTCCTAAGGTTACTCTATAGTACTCGAAGTATGCTATAGTTTCTATGGAAAGAAATTGTCTCATGCAAATCCTAATGTGGACAAATTTTAAGTTGTACTTAAAACTTAAACAACTTAAATCTGTTTGGAATCATTTTACTGTTAGGTTTGTTGTAGACAAGTTTATATTATACTGAAGGAATATAGTATATAAACTGTTGCAGATGGTAGAGAAACATCAAGCTGGTGGAGTCTACAACTTGTCTAATGAACTTTGTAATAAGGAACATTTTTACTGCTAAGAAGAGCAGTTTTCCTTACTAATTCGGAGTAATCAATACTTGCATTCAGGCGCATTACTTTTGACTCTTTTTATTCTTAAACAATGATCCATTGAAGCCTATAGCATCTTTTGCGACGATCAGAGTTCTTTTGGATAAGCATGTATGCCAGTTTAGCCTACTCGACTATAACAACCATATAATTTATCAGTGAGAGCATGTGCCGAATATTTAACATCTATCGCGGATGCTTTATCGTCGGTTGATCGGCTTAATGTTTCTCTAAGACGAGAATTGTCGACTAACAATTCTTGGAGATTTTATGCATTATACTCGCCATCTCCATAGTAAAAGACTAGAGTGCTCGTAACAGTTCGTTTGGAGATCGAAGCTCTAGCTACAAAAG